AACATTTCTTTAACACAGAAAAATAACGCTAATTTTATTTTTATTTATTTTTTTATTTTGTATGTAAAGACAGTAATGACAACATTAGAGAACACAACAACAGTTATAGTCCATGAAGCCATTAATGAAGAATACGAGTACATACAGTATAACAAACAGTTACGTCTCATTCGTTCAGTCAAAGATGACATGTACCAAATGCAAAGTATAATGAATGCTCTTCGTTCTACAAAGCAAGCATATCATTGGTTTGAAAACCAACAGACAAAAGAACTTTTAGAAGAATTTCCTCATATGATTGCTTCCCTCGGAAAACCGAGAGAAGAGATTCCGTACGAAAATCGCAAGAATTTGGCTCCTGGTTTGAAAGGTTATTATGTTCATAGACTTTTAGTAAACGCTGTAGCAATGTGGGCTTCACCTCGTTATGCTGTTATATTTTCATGATGTTAGATGAACTATATAAAGCAGAACGTGGAGAGATGGAAAAGAAACTTCATGCAAAAGATGAAGTCATTGAATCCAAAGACAAAAGCATACAGAAAAGAATACCACGTTCAGTACCAAAAGGAAAGGAAAAGAGTTATAAGTATATGATATATACTGAAGAGTTGGAGAAAGAAGAAGACAGAGATATGGTTATGTTGCATTTAGTCAGAAGAAACAACAAAAGCTTTTATGACCTTGCTAAGATTTACAAATCTGACAGAAACTGGTTCTATCGTGAAAACTTACCGATTTCAATGACACCGAATGAGCAAATAAAGGAAATTGTCAAAAGTACTCTTCCTCAAACACACTATGACATCAAAGGTTGCACAATACTTACATTCAAAGAAGACTTAACATTACTGAAGGAAAAAATAACAGAATATTTCGATAACTTCAAAGAGGAAGAATAAAAACTTACCGATTTCAATGAAAAACATTAACTTTTTGACGAAGTGAAGATTTGCACTTTGTCAAAATTTAATGAAAACTTACCGATTTCAATGAAAAACATTAACTTTTTGACGAAGTGAAGATTTGCACTTTGTCAAAATTTAATGAAAAACATTAACTTTTTGACGAAGTGAAGATTTGCACTTTGTCAAAATTTAATGAAAAACATTAACTTTTTGACGAAGTGAAGATTTGCACTTTGTCAAAATTTAATGAAAAACATTAACGATAACATTAACGATAAAATTTATTTCCTGGACTGTTGTCAAAATGTCATGTTGTCATCATTTTTAAAAGAAGTTAATTAACCTGGTAGCACATGGTGACGTGGTGACACTTTCAGTTATTCAAAAATATATTTTTGCTTAAATAGCTTCAGGGTCTATTTCTTCAACCATTTCACTTCCTTCGTCAATGTCAATAGAAGCTTCTTCAACCTTTGGTAAGAATTCTGTATAACATCTTTGTTCGTTATTGTCTTCAGAGATGAAGGATAATATTTCACATTTGTTTCACCCTTCTTATATTCTTTCTGTTCGGAAAGATTTAAAGCAATACTGAAGAAGTCAATGTTAGAGTTCTTTATGACAGTATAATGAGTATCTTTGACATTCACGAAGAAACTCTTTTGTTTCAAAACTACTGCTAACTCTTGTGAAGTATAACGTTTGCGGTCAATGACGATAGCTAATGGTCTGACATACTGACCAAACTTAGATTCTTTCACAAACTTCTTGTTAAAGATAACATTAACATTTGAAGCATTATTGAACTCATTCTTGATGGCAGTAGCGAGAGCATTGTATGAAAAGAACTTGCAATCTTGCATGTGTTTCATTAAAATAAAAATATTAAATTATTTTGAAAAATAACTTAAAAAATCTAATCTAATTTTTTCAAAAAATATTTTTTTATTTCCTACTAAAGATGTATCGGAAGTTGTCTAAGTTAGAACACTCGGAAATAAAACAACTTCTTACAGAAGCTAACATAGATGTTGCAAAGCATTACGCAACAAACAAAAAAGCACTCGCTGACATCCTCAATGACTATAATGGTGCAATAAGTTATGATAGAATTCATGAGTTCATAAAGCCGCAACGCGGCGAGGACGAAGTCCATGCAAGAGCATTTCCTTTAAATGACGTTGCTATTGACTTATATCATAGACGTTCAGTACCTCATGAAGTAAGAAGAGAAATGTTTGACATAACAAATGCAAACGTTGGTGAAACAAGAAGAAGAGACGACACACTGAAACAACAGAGAAGAGAGATGTTTAAAAGTGCTATAGAACAAGTTCGCAAAGCTAACGATGTCATTCGTTCCATTGACGACAAACCAAAAGAAGGTGAGAGATGGTTAAAGAAAGATGAAGAGAATAGGAAGAGAAATGTGAAGTCAGGCAATAGACTCATTGACTTTAACATCGAAGCTTTAGATGAACCAAACAGAGACTACTTACACAAACATTTCGGTAAGGTTTTCATGAGACTCTTAGAGAAATTAAAATAAACTCACAACAGAGATGGATGGTATGTTATAAACTTGGTGGAAAGTATGAATGTTCTACGTTAAACCTCAATAATATTGGAACATTACTACATCAGCTCTTGAAGGAGAACTTTATATCAGAGATAGAAGCAAATGCTGCAGGTATTGTTGAAATGCACTATGACTTCTTCTTGACAAACATAAAGAATCTTACTGAAATAAAGATGTATGATTTAACAGAATATGAAGGCTTAACGATGTCAGATGTAAAGAAAGGCAAACCAAAAAAGAGACCATATAGAGATGAAAGCACACTGACAAATGACCAGAAAGCCATTTTGGAAGCTCTTAAGCAAACAGGAAACCCAGCACTTATAGAAAGCTTTTGGAAAGATAATGGTGAAAAGAAGTTTTATAAGAAGAGAAGCGGTCAGTTCTGGAAGTATCTTTGCACATTACCTATAAATCTTGAACGCTACCAAATCTTCAATGAACTGAACAAAAGAACTGCAACACTTATGACAGAGACAATTGTTTCGTTTATGCTTGCATTCAGGCTGGAGTAGATGAAGAAACTATTGACCACATGAGAGAAGTCATTCGTGTTAGAGACTTTCCTCAAAGTAAAGTACAAGAAATTTCTGACGCAACAGGTATAGCATTTAATGTTACCATTGGTTATTTCAATGACTCAAGACATAATGAAATAAAGAGATACATACCAAAAGAATGTGAAACTGTTCGAACTATTGACTTACTTCTTGTTGAAGACCACTACATGCTAAATGAAAGATTACCAATGACAACATATTTCATTCGCAACTATATAGAAATCTTGAAGGAGTGTGGTGGAATGAACATTGAGAAACAGATGAAGATTTATACAAAGAGAGAGAAAATATGTAGTTCGTTATGATAGAACACACCGTTATGGGATGTTATGAAAACATTGTGGGAGTGCAAATATTTCGAACCTATTTCTTATGGAGAACTTTTCACATATACGACTGACTTATATAAACAGAACCTTGCACCATTTAAAGATTTGACATATGCTCCAAAGTATTGTGTACAACTGAAGAAGAAAGCAGAGTCAAAAGAAGTAAATAAAAATAAGTGCAAGTTCATTCCTGAGCACGTTTTCTTTGCTGACTTTGAGTGTAGTACCGATGGCTTTCATAAAGCTTTTAACATCTGTTATGACAGTGAAGATGGTTCAGTGAGTGAAAGCATTGGGGTCAAACTGTGCAACAGAATTTTTGGAGCGACTTCCTGACAAGAGTTTAATATATTTCCATAACCTCAGTTATGATATAAACTTCATCTTAAGACACATGACAGAAGTGAAAGGAACTCCCATCATTAAAGGTTCACGAACAATGCAAATAACTGGCTTATATAAAGGAAGGGCAATTATTATAAAAGACTCTTACAGTGTTATAAATAAGAAGCTTAAACTATTTCCTGCTATGTTTAACTTACAAACAGGACCGAAAGAAGTATTTCCATATAACTACTACAGCAGTGTTTTGTTAGCAAATGACAACAGAACTGGTGTCATTTCTGAAGCATGTAAGTTTATCCGGATGCAGATACGTTCATGAAAACATAGATTCCATCAAAGGTTGCAGAATAGATGAAACCACTTCGACTTAGAAAAATATAGCACATTTTATTGCAAACAAGATGTAAGAATTTTAAGAGAAGGTTTTGTTAAGTTCCGCAATGACATATTGAAAGAATTTGATTTAAACGTTATGACTACGTTAGTATTTGTTCTATTGCTAACAAATTGTTTGAGAACAGAGTGTACTTCCCGAATGGAAATTTATATGACCTCTCAAATAAACCAAGAGAATTTATTTCACGCTGTATTCAAGGTGGAAGATGTATGCTGTCAGATAACATGAAACAAAAGAGCGAAAAGAAACTCATTGCTGATTCGACGCTGTTTCATTATATCCATCAGCTATAGCAAGACTTTATACTTTAGAAGGTATTCCAAAGGTTATGAAGAAAGAAATGTTAAGCACAGAGTATCTCATGAGACATTTATTCGATGACGACCAAAAGGAACCCATTGGTGAAAAGTTTATGTCTGGCTTCTTTGTTCTCATTAAGATAACAGAGATTGGAATACATAGACACTTTCCTTTAATAGTTTGTGACCCTGAACTAAATCCAGAACTTAACGTTCCCAGAAGTTCAAACACTTGCTGTTTAATGTATGTTGACCATATAACATTACAAGACCTCATAAAATATCAAGGTGTCAAATGTGAAGTGTTGCAAGGATACTATTACGATGGAAACAGAGATATTAGAATAAGAGATGAAGTAAAGAAGTTGTTTGAGTTAAGGTTAAAGTATAAGAAAGAAGGAAATCCTTTGCAAGAAAATATAAAGCTCATTCTGAACAGTATTTATGGCAAAACTATTCTATCTCCTATTGAGTCAAAAATAACCATAGTAATGACAAAGATGCTATAAGATATGCCATCAGAAACTACAACCATATAGTGAAGTTCGAAGGTTTGGATGGTTCAGATAAAACTATTTTCAAGCTAACGAAAAGCATTTGCAGACACTTTAACTTCTGTCCACTTGGTGTTAACATTCTGTCTATGTCGAAGAGAATAATGTGTGAAGTATTCTGTACTGCTGAAGATATGGGACTTCAAATATTTTACCAGGACTGTGATAGCATGCATATTTTCAATGAAGACATACCAAAGCTTGCAGCAGAGTTTAAGAAGAGATACGGTCGCGAACTTATAGGAAAGAACCTTGGTCAGTTCCATTCTGACTTCGCAGAAATAACACCTGGAAAACAAAGTTTAGCATACAAGTCAATATTTTGTGGAAAGAAGACTTACATAGACTTACTCACGAATGATTTAAATGAAGTTGCATTCTGCACGTTGCTAACGTAAAAGGTTGGTGTAAAACAAGACGTAACGTTTTGCTTTAACAGCTAATGAAATGTTTCCTGAAGCTATACAATGCTATTACAATGAAGATAAGAACATTCACATACCTGTTGGAACATATGACAAAGACTCTGAGTTCAGTTTAATGAAACTTTACAAAGCACTTCATGATGGTCAAGAGATTGGATTTGACTTATGTAAGTCTTCTAGTCCTTGCTTTGCTGAAAAGTTTAACTTCTCAATAACGACTAAAACAAGCTTTATTCGTAAGTTGAAGTTCTGAGGTCATATGAGGTCAGAATGAGGTCATATGTCGTGATAAAAATAATGAGGTCATATATTTTTGTCATTTATGTATAATCATTGTCTCTCTTAAACTTTGCAATAGACAGCTTTGTTCTTCTTCCTTCTACATCTGTAATGTTTATATAATCTTTGTTATACTGTCTTAAGACATTCATTCGTCTGTATTGAGTTCCCATGAAATAGTAAAAGGCATCTTCACTTGGGACATAGTAGTAGTTCTCTAACGTGTGATATGAGTATTGTATAATTTCAACAGCGTCTTCAGGAAGAGAGTCAACAATGTCAAACCAATAGCCATTTGAACCAGAAATATTTCTCATGTTTTCTCTTCTTGTCGTCCATCTTAAGTTCGAGATATGAAAGTCTCCTCTGTCTCTGTTTATATGGTCTACTTCACGAAGTCCTTCAGGGTTCGGAATGAAAGTTTCTGCAACTATTCTATGTTTCATCAGCTTGTGTTTGTTTAAATTTACACAAATATAACCATCTCCTTGGTCAAACTCACTAACAACTCTTTTATTGCTTATACGTCTAATTGGATAAGGGTACTCTGAAAAGATTTCATAGTCATTGTCATGTTCGAGTGTTTGCCAATGTCCTTCACCTTCCATGCCTTTCACTCAAATAAAAATTTTCAGAAAAAATAAAACTAGCGTAGATTTTACAATACAGCTATTGTAGAGTTTAAGAGTTGTGCTTCAATGTAGAGACAGTCCTTATGGTCTGGAGGTAAGAACACTGGGCAGTTATGGTCATGAGTGGAGAACATGTCTATCCAAAACTCACGATTGAAGCCAGTTAATTTATAGTATTTAGGGTTAGGAAGTGGTGAAGTTCTTGTATGACCAATGAACTCATTTTCAACTCCCTTACTTAAGTTTGAATATAATATAGCTTGCTTTCTATCCCAAATGCCAGGTGTTACAATCTTTGAAAATTCATTTTTCCTCGGAAGCATTGCATCATAATTGAAAACATTCTTGAAATCATCACTTGGTTCAGAGATTTGAAATCTTATACGTAATGGATTTTCTTTCTTTTTAGCGACTTCATTGAATGGTGAGAATACAACAAACTGACAGTCATGAGTTCCATCTTCATTTTCATTAAATTCATAATGAAAGTCTATAAGTTGTGGCTGACTACCTTCTTCTTTCAGTTGTGCAAGAAACTCACGTAAAGGCTGTAAAGTTTGTACTTCAATGTTAAACTTTTTCTCGAACATCTCATTAAATGAAATCATACATTGCAACAGTGTTGTATCGTCTTTAAAGTATTTGTATATGTGAATGTTTTGGGCGTTTAAAGACTGTTCGTCATTTTCTATCTCGACTTGAAGTATAAAGTCAACCTTTCTGAAAGCACGTGTTATATACATAGATGTTATGCCAATGTACTTCTCTTCATTTATGTTCACAATCCAGTCTGTTGGAAACTTAAACGTTACTCTGTTCCCCTTTATTTTGACGTCAGGGTTTTCACTACTGAACGCAACAGATAAAGGTATTTGTCTATACATTTAATTCGGATAAAAATAAACCATTTACTCTTTCTTTGCTTCAGCTTCTTCTCTAGCTTTTGCTTCAGCTTCTTCTCTAGCTTTCTTCGCCAGTAGTCTTGGGTTCTTTTGTCTTCCAGCAGCTAATGCAGCAAGTTGTTTTTCACTAAGTTTTCTCTTTGGTCTCTCTGGCTTTTGTTCTTGTTTTTGTTCCTTCAGTTCGGATAAAATTTGCTCACGAATTTCTTTCTTCAATGCTTCAACATCTATGACCCCTTGGGTCTTGTCCGTAGGGCTTGTCTGAGTCATTTGACTGCAGATAAAAAACAAAATTAAAACTTTAACCGATGTAAAATGAGCTTGTCAAAATCAGAGCGAGAGTCTATTATATTAAATGACGCAAGAGGAATACAACATCCTTTCTATTACGTAAGTCAGAGTAAAGATGGTAAAATATACGTAAGAAAAAGAAAGGTTCCATTAGCGAATGCAGAAAGCGACAACATTAAGGTGTATGGCAAGGGTGAAGTCCACGTTAAGCCTTCTATTCAAACTGAAAAGTCAATAGAACCAGAAGAAAAGAAGCCAGATGTACTTTCAATAACGAACCAAGAGCTTATTGCAAAGTTTGTGAATTTCATTGAAAAACAAACCGAGTCAAAGAATCCTGACCCGCCAGTGAAAGAAGTTGAGACAAAAGAGAATGTACAGTTCATTGAAAATGTCAAGAAACAACTTCCACCACGAATGCCAAGAAGAAGAGTGAGAATAATGAAGTAAATAGATATTTTTATCCGAAGTAAATACATGCAGAACGAACAGCTAAACGAATTTACTCCAGCAGAGCATATTCATCAGATTCGCTCATATTTCGATATCATAGACAATGTAGTTCAAATTGGTGACACTAATAGAAAATATTCTGATGCAAAGATTCCATCACAACCTGGAACTGCTAAAGATAACACATGGGGTACATTCAATCTCTCACCTCCTGGTGAAAATATGTTGGACCTTTACAATACATTCATTACGTATAAAATGGAAGGTCAATTTATTGTAGATAAAGAAATTGGTTCAGGTTCCAATAAAACAAACCCACCAGGATTTTGGATTGGTTTCGATGACGCTTTCTATGCAGTTGCTGGATATCAAATCCTTGCAAATGGTCGTATCGTATATTCTCAAGACAACGCAAGAGAAGAAGCATATATAACTTCAAACTCACAAACTACCGAACAAATAAAGAAAGTAGATGTTTTCTCAAAGACTCGACATGAAGATGTATGGAGTCATTCGGGAACATGCAGAACAGGACAAATTGTTAGTGGTCCAATTACAGCAGGAAAATCATTTGATTTTAAGCTTCGTTTAAGAATTCCTGTTAGAAGATTCCTTCCATTAGAACCTATTCGATTTATTCCAGCTTTTGCAGGAAACATTCAGCTTAAAGTAAAGTTCAGTAGCGACGCCTTACAATGCACATCTATATCTGTAAATGATATCATTGCTTTCAATCCAACTCTTAAAGTTGCATTTGCTTCAGATTCAAATCCACCGACAAATAAATTTGTTCCATGGAATGAACCATTCACTATGATAACGAAGGCAGTAGAAGCTAGTGGAACAGTTACTATTACAACTGTAACCCAGCAACTATTTCGAACAAAGATGGATTTTAATGAATGTTTCATTCATCCAAAGTCATTCTCTTTAGACCCTAACATTTATACAGAACTTGTAGAACATTATACAAACGAGGCTTTATGTTTTCCTGTTAAAGTTATGGATTGGATTCCTATGGATGGTTCATTCTCAAAGAATACAGATAGTTCAAGTGCAACATTTACAGCAGCTTATACGCCTATTAATGTTAAAAGTATTTGGGCACTATTTAGAAAGAAAGACAACTATTATGTTAATTTTGAGAACCCTAAGTTTAAATATCTTCAGCTTTCCATGGGAGCTTATGGAAATATGCCTGCAGAACCTGAAAAATCATATGGACCTGTATTTTATGAAATGGTTGCGAACGCCTGCAATACAAACAATGATATGATAGGATTTAATGAAGATGTTATGAGGTCATTGGTGGATGATGGTAGTGTGGAACATAAATGGGATAGCTATGACAACACACATTTCTTATGGGTTTCCAACAGAAGTGGACTTTTGCTTCCAGCAAGGTCAAACATCTACTGCTCTCAATAACATACAAATTGTCTGTTAAAGGACCTATTGAACTAGCAACTGAAAATGTACCAAAGCCACTTATTGGATTTATGAGGGATTGTTGCTTTGCCATTCAGGTGCGTGCTAATGGAATCCCAATAATAAGATTAGATGACTATAACTTAGCTACGGACGACGGTGAGGAATAAAGGATGAACGTTTATTTTTAAAGCTTATAAATGAGTTCTTCATCAAGCTCTCGTGAACCTTCACCATCTATGAAACAAACTTTACCAAACGATTATGGAGCACCTATTGAATATTTCTTACGAGCTGCACAATGGCAAAGAGCAGTCTCACCAAGGTTAGGTGTTCCACCAGCTCCTGTCAAAAATAGCATTTGGTCAAGTCCTTATATAAGATATGGTCTCCCACTAGGTTTGCTAGCTACAGCAGGAGCAGTTATGATGTTGAAAAGAAATAAAGCAAATGTTGTAAATAATACTGAAGTAGCTGAAGTTAAACAAACTCCAACGCCTTCACAAACAACACCTTCAATGACTCCTGAACTTATGAAAGTACAAACTCCTGTTCAAAAGTCAACTCCTAAACCGACTCCAACATTTAAACCAGAACCTACTCCTCAAATAAATCGTAAAACTCCTGCGTTTCCTTACTGAAAAAATAACGTTATTTTTATTTAATATTAAAATTTTTATTTGATTGAAATGACAAATAAAGTCACTGAAGCAATGAAACAAAAGTTTTTGGTAGAATACATTAAATCAGGAACTATTCCAGAAGGTTTTTACATTCATACTATGAAGGATGGTAGAGTTCAGTTTAGAAAGATAAAGCAACCATTAGATAGAGAAGGTATATTAAGGAAGATTAA